TATGAATTAGCGAGGTTTCCCTACTCCTAATGAAAATTTATCCACATTACTAATTTATTCTCCATTTTCAATCATAGAAGAGGGAAAATCGAGCTTGCAATTATTGTAACAGGCAATCCCACAATGTTTAGATGCTACTTGTCTTTATATCTTTTTACTAAACCAAAACATTATTAACCAAGAATCAAATCTTCATACATGTAGAAACACATATATATCTAACTATCTAAGGAACTAATTGTGGTTGAATAGCAATCCAGAGTCATGATTTTATTACAAGGATAAGAAGTAGGAAAAAGTAATTGACAACAAACACCACAATTTAAATGTTGATGACTGCAACAGATTGTCCGTCACCTATCTTCTCTTAGAGGAACTCTCCTTTCCATTCACCATTTATCCAGTGTCCAGTGCAAACTTGAGGGATAAGAGAAATTGTCTGATAATCTTCACTTTGTTTGTCCAAATTCTGTACTTTGTAGATTAGCTCATCAGACATGTCATACAATCCAAGAAATTTAAGCCCGGTCAAGTTTTGGAGGCCCAAAGGCAGGCCCTCCATAAGCTTGCAATCAACAATAAAAAACTTTTGGAGACTAGACAACGATTCTTCTTCCACTCTTACCCATTTCAATCTTTTTAATTGCCCAAGGTCTAATTTCTGGAGTTTTGGGAATCCTCCAGCATTAAAGCACAATGTCTCCCCTTCATAAGCACGATAGAGAGTAAGTTCCATCAAGTTGGGCAAGTGTCCAAGGCAGTCTATTGCGTTCTCATCTTCACTCAACTCACTATTCTGCAAGAGTAAAGTGCGCAAGGATTGAAGTGACATTACCCATTCCGGTACTCTCTCTAAACGCCCAGTCAACCCCAACCTCGTAAGAAATCCAAGTCTCGGAGAGACGGAATGTTGGAGATCAAGGGTCTCCTCTTCTTTAATGGAGCAGATATACAACTCTCGAAGGTTGGTCAGCCTTGACAGGGAGTAGAGCAACTCTTTTCCATCTTCTCTTCTCAGCTTTGTGATGGTTAATTCTCGCAACTGAATGAGCTTCCCAATCTCCCTTACTACTTGACCACCATCTACTTCTATGTTTCCCAGCCTCTCCAAGGAAGTAAGCTTTCCAATTCCATCCGGAGATTTAAAGCCCCAAACTGAAAAGTTATTTGAATAATCACCCACTCTGCCTACGATAAGGGAACGGAGTTTTCTTAGCTTTAGAATCTCCACGGGCAACTCCGTTACAGTGGTTCGAGTCAGAATTAAAGATTCCAGGTTTTGAAGCTGCCCAATAGATTTTGGGATGACTTTAACTCTGGTGTCACTTAGATTCAGAAACTTGAGATGAAATAGTTTGAAAACTTCCTTCGGGATGTTGTCCAGTTCAGCTTTGTATAAATTTAAAACCTTCAGGAACTTGGGACCACCACATAAAAACTTCAACAAAAATGAAGTTGTGAGAGGATCTTCATACCCGAATGTTTCCACGGACCGAAGACGCTTTAAGCTGCTGAAGCCTTGTGGTGGTTTATCAGTGAAGTTATGGATTACTAGGTGTCGAACTTTGTCAGGCCATCTTGTGCAATATCCAGTGGTTATGGCTATGAAGCACTGCTCTTTAGACTTTGAAACAATGATTTCACGCAGAAAATCATGAATACCACATTCCAACAATTTGCCATCATCCGATGTCTCTTTAACTTGGATTAAGCTTCTGTTGATGAGTTGTTCTAGATATCTCATAGCAATATCAGTGGCTGTCATTCCTTCTTTCTCTTCTATAAATCCTAGTGCTATCCATTTATCAAGTAAAATTTCGACATCAATTGGATGATCTTCAGGATAGACACTTAGATATAATAGGCAGTTTTTGAGATGGTGAGGCAAATCGTTGTAGCTGAGTAAGAGTATCCTTCTAATTCTATCAAGCTTACCGCTACCATCTACCTCACTGCCATAGCCACGAAAAATCATCTCCCATTCATCTATCTTATCCTTGTCCTTCAAAGCCAAAACACCACCCATTGTTACAATTCCAAGTGGTAGGCCCTCACATTTTTTTAGTATCTTTCTACAAACTTCTTCTAGATTCGAAGGGCAACCATTACTTTGAAATGTTCTATTGCAAAAAAGAGTCCAAGAATCATCATAAGAAAGAGGCTTCATGATATGGATAAAGTCATGGGATGCTAAACAAGATGCAGAAGCTACATCGGTAATTCGTGTTGTTAATACAACACGACTAGCGATGTTGCAGTCAGGCAACACGTATTTGATAGCTTCCCAGGCATCTAGACTCCACACATCATCAAGGACAAGGATGTACCTTCTTTCTTTGAGGAAGTCCTTGACAAATTCGCTGAGCCTAATACCATCCATGGATTCCACTTGCGGAGGCACCGGCTGTCTGATTTCCTCGTACAATTGTTGAATCAAGTTCTTGATGATGACTTTGAATTGAAAATTTTGAGAAACAGTTATCCAAGCATGGCTCTGAAATTGTTTCTTCACTGCAGCATCATCGTAGACCTTTTTCACCAGGGTGGTTTTACCGAGTCCCCCCATTCCCACCACTGAAACTAGTTTCAAGTGGGAATGGTCATCAAGGACTTTGGAGATGAGCTCTTTTTTGGGCTGATCGATGCCAACAAGCTTAGCTTCTTCAATTAGGAGTGCCTGATCACGAATATCATAATCTGCATTTGCCACATTGGAAGAGCTGGAGTCTCTTTCTTGAGTACTATACAGAGGCTTGTACCTCTGATGCCTTGCAGAAATCTCTACAACTCTGGCCTTGATATCTTTTATCTCCAAAGAGATCCGATGGCGGGCTTTCATATTTTTTATTGAGTTTTAGATCTTTCCAACGCGGCCACAGAATCCATCCGCATGTCCACGAGCAAAGCGGAAGGCAAAATCATCGAGAACATCCTCTGTATCATATGCAACTTCTCGAACCTGCTTGACCCATTCTTGGAGTTGTGAGTCATTGTCCTCCTTTGCTTCAGCTTCTCTAAGGAAAGCCTTCATGCTTCCGAGTTCATCTTTGATGAACTGAACATCTGGTTGAAGGCCTCCCAAAAGCGTGGTCTATTGGGAAAGTAAGGCTGAGAGCTGGTTAATCAGAAAGCCTACAACACTCTCAGCCATATTGCTGAAAAAATTTCTTAAGTGCTAGTTTTCTTATCAAGAAAATTTTGAGAATTTTTGCAAATTTCGAAAAATGTACTATTTTTCTTTTTTCTTTTGTAGTACAGAAGTTGTGAAAGATTAGCTACTCAAGAATGATATGATTTCAAAAGAATAGCTACTCAAGAATGATATGAATTTAGGAAAATATGTTTTTTTCCCCTTTCCCAGAATACAGGTTGAGTTTTATTTGGCACTTTGGTAGTATGCCCAGAATGACCAAAACTTACTGTAGAGAAAAAAGTGAAAGATTAGTCTACTTGAAAAGAATAGCATAGAGAGCATAACCTAAGAAATAGGCAAAGGATAGCTATTCTCCGCAACGGATCTTCTGTACCACACCCTATCTCATATCCTGTCCCACTCCTTAGAATCTCGCCAAATGTCTTTTAATAAACCAAACCCTCAAACAACCCAACTCGGACCATATTAAGTTAGTTAATCGATTAACCGGACAATGAAACTTAATCTTTTTAACCAATATAACCAAAACCAAGAAAAATAAAAACTCTTTAATCAAATCGCAATTTATCAACGAAAAAAACCTTAAAACCCAAACAACCTCTGTCCTCTTCATCATCTCTTCCCATGAGAAACAACTTTTTTACGAGGATAAGATAAAGCTTCGAAGCTCTTCCCAAAGTGAGAAACAACTTATTTTTTAAAAACCTTGGTGGGTTTCTTCGAAGCTCTTTCTTACGGTAGAAATATATTTTTCTTCTAATTTGCAGCTTCCAGTCCAAATTGGCACTGAATGGTTTGAAAATTCGGTGGGACAGGACGCAGCTCACGACCTGTTCGATCAAATGCCTAAGAGGAAGATGAATCAAACTGTAAGGTAAAAGTCTAACTTGGTTGCTCCCATATTTATTAGGAGGGTGTTTTGCATTTTATATGTTTGATTTTATTTATTAGGACTGCCTGTAGGCTTGTCATTAGTAGTTAGAAAATATGTTAAAGTTTTCTGGTATCGTAAGCGAGTCAACTAAAGTTCACAAACTGAAATTTCCAAGTGCAGGATAACCTTTTTCTTCCCGTGTTTGCTGAATACCCACCATTCTTTAACAACGGATAATTACATAGTTTGGGTTACTCTTGTTCGAAGACAAACTTGAATGTTAGAGTCGATAATGTTGGGATTTAGAGCATAATGTTAACAACCTTGTTGGGATTTAGAGCATAAACTAAAGAATAACACTAAGAGTTAGTGCTGCGAAAAAATGGCTTATTATAAGATCTTGTACTGCACGATTGAAAGGGACCTTAAATTCTTTGTTCGAAAGCTCTCTATTTGTAGGGCATACAATAAACACTTTTAACATAATATTTGCTAACAAATCTCAACCAAGAAGTGCACTAGAAATGGCTACTAAGAAACGCAAGTACAAGGTGAAAGAGAAGTCTTCATAAAAAAAATTACAGGTTTTACAATTTATTTAGTTTATGTGAACAATGCTAGTTTATTGTTTGACTATTAATTTTTTTTTTTGGTTCCTTAGTTCTACGATGAATGATGAGCATGGAAATAGTATTGGGATCCTTATTTATAATTTGGATAAAAATGATTGTAGGAATCTGGAAATAATGTTGTTCATTCAAGTATGGATTCTATTACAATTCAAGGCTTTGTTTGAGAATTACCACCACAACAGGTTTAGTTATTCGTCATTTTTCTCTTGTATAGTATAGTAGATATGTAATTCATTCTAAATTTTTATTTGAATATTTTATTCTTAAATGACTAAACTACATTGAAGGTATATTTTGCCAATGATATTTTTAATTTGTAGTTGTCTCTCTTTAATTATATCAGGAATTTGGAATTCCAATAGAAGACATCTGCAATAGGCAAAATACTAAGAACATGACACAATTATTACAAGTAAGTGAATATTATGCTTTTTGTAGATATTATGTCAACCATTAGTTGCATGTGGTTTCTTATTTATCTTAATTTTTTCCAAGTATTATAGTTTTGCAAGTTTACAGCTGTTTGTTTGTATGTGTGGTCTTTTATTTCTTATTTTTCTGGCAGATGTTGGACCCTAACTTCTACCAAGGTTATGATTTGATGTCTTCAAGTTCAATAGCACAATAACATGCATCAATAAGTTTTGTCCAAGTAAGGAAAAACCTTGATTAATTATTTAATCTTATATATATTAGTTTGATAATTTACAATTATAATTCAATATATTTGCTAACTTTGGGTCTGTTTTTGTAGGCACAAGAACTTGAAAATAATGATGATTCTGATCAACAAGTTGTTGAAAATGGGAAAATTGAATGAAGATGCTTATGAAGAAATGGAGGACAAGACTGTGGGATTGCGCTCATGGATTAATTAGACCTTTAAGTGGAATAATACTTTGTGCTTATACTTCAATTGATTTTGATATTTTTGTTCCAATTTCTGTTAATAAACATTCTTTTGACTAAACTGTAGAAGATGAGATATATTAGTTGAGATGCTCTGGATTCTTGATGCATACAAGAAATCGTCTTAATTTCCAATACTAGTGGATGTTGGCTGGAACTTGTGTCGGTAACTAAAAGTACTAAACGTTCCTTGTTTGAGGACTCTTAGAGTGGAAAGTTCAAGGTCCATACGAACTCAATATTCTTTACTCTCTGGCCTTTTCAGTCGTGCAGAATTAAGAGTTTTGTGTTGGTACCAATCATTTGTTCGTGGACTTTCTGGGTAGAAGGAATCAATTTCAAGGTTTCCAATTTCTGCGTGTGGCTAGAGAATTCACAATTTGGTTTACCGCATATATTCATGTTACCGTTCCTTCATTGTTTTCCTAGGGCATCCGCTTGGAAAAATTTGTTCGGCATAACTTCCACCGTTCCACGGTCATTTTCATTTTATTTGCTGACATTATTTTGCCCTAAACAAAATAGTTTAAGGTAACTGGCTTCTTTTATTGTTGGATAGCCTCGTTGCTGAGTCTCAAATAATTGTAGAAGATGCATTTTTCTTTCATTTTCTTACCATCTTTTACAGATCTGACAAGAGCATAGAAAAGAACGTCTCCACTGTTGATCCTTTTAAGAAAAGAAAACCGCCAAAACCTCCCCTTAACTCAGAGAATTAGATCGCACCATTTTGTATGGGATTGGCCAGAATTGTTTTGACAATTAGTTGACCTTCTACAAGTACCAGTCATCACACTTATGCCTTATCCAACACATTCACTAGTGCAAAAAAGGTAACGGCCAGCCATCTTTTTACTGCTAATTTCTGAAGCTTACTGCATTAACTACGAAGGAATATGCAATCCACATCTGCACAAATCTATTTCACAATTAAAGAATAAACAACACTGAAAGGACACATTGAGAAGGGATTACTGATGAAACCATTAGCGTCTGGCCACAATAAGTGCAAGTTTCTCGATCAGTAAGAGCCTATCATACACAAACTAAAATAAGTCCTTTTAAAGAATGACAATTAATTACATTACATCCACCGATAATGTTTCGTCACAATTAGTTTTTGTTTTTGTTCTCTCCTGCCATTGAGCACCTGATGTAAGTGCTCAGTAGTATTCTTCCAGTTCAAGAACCGCAGCAAGCAGATTTTTGAGCAAGTTGACCAGCGCCAGCTGCTCGATCTGGTTGATTAATTTTGATTGTTGAAGCCTGCACAGGCAAGCAAACTTAGATCGCATACTTTGTATCATCTATCAGAGCCAGTTCAACAATACCAGGTTGACTTACCTCCGCCTTAGTGTCCGTGTCTGCAAGCCTTTGCTTAATGTCCCTTGCTATTGAAAAGAAAACTTCTTCCACATTAAGATTTGTTTTTGCACTCTGCAGTGCAGTATAGTCATATTAAGAGAAGCAACAGAAGGAGCTATGTCACATAATACATTCAAAAGCAACTTACAGTCTCAAAAAATTTGATACCGTAGTTATCAGCAAGTGCTTGACCCTTTGAGGTAGGGACAGCCTACAAATTGTCCAATTGCTTTAGACAACATATTGAGTGACATAATGATAACCAAATGGGATTTGAAAGGATTCCTAAACATTTTATAACATAATCTACAAATCCTGCTATCATGTCTTTCTCTAAACAAAATTATTTCATATGCCAGTTTGTCTAATTAATAAGAAAATGGTCATAAAATTCAGGTTCTATCCTCAACAAATCTGTGTACCAACAAAATTCGTTAAATCAAGTATTATAGTATCTAGAGGCACATCAGATTCAGCAAAGCTCAAAACATCCAGGTGTCCCAAGATGACAAATTATACGTTTTTTTTATCTCTTTTTATTTTATTTCGTTGGGGTTCGAATGACATAAACAGGTGCTACTTATTAACAAACTTAACAGGTGAAAATAAATCAGATTCTGAACAATATATACCCTTAGAATATCGTGAGCCAGGTATCCAGTGACCCTTACAATATATAACTTGTCACCTAGAAGACTCTTTTCAGAAGAGGTGGAAATTTCTGGCTATTGATTCATCTTCCTCTTAGGCATTTGATCGAACAGGTGGTGAGCTTCGTCTAATTGCCCATTGAGAGCACATAATCTGATGACCTTTGACCCAAATGTCGGCTACCAACAGAATTTAAACACAAACACTACAACCTACTTCTTTTCCTTCCCTTTCCCACCAAACAACCCCCTCCCCTTCTCTGTTTTCAGAAAAGCGCATGCATCCTGACAGAAAATAATTGAAAAGAAAGAGACCAGGAAGAAAAAGAGAAGGCAATGGACAACTGAAGTAATCTCAACAAACACCCAAACATTTTATAAAACCACTAAGGTTTGGCTACAGCACGTATACTAGGCAGGTACAGGCACAGAATATTGATATATATAGTTAATGAACTTGTAGACCTGTGAGCAATCATTGACATGACCTACCTACCAGATGAGTTCGCAAACTTTTCAGTAGACCAATTCTTGTTTGAAAATGGTTTAGAGAAATTAATTTTTAAGATAAGTCAAGCTTTGGAGGACACTGTACAACAGTTAACTAGTTTGTCCCAAAAAAAAAAGACAAAAAAGTAAATGAGGTGATTGGATAAACAAACTAAAGACTAATTTATCATCCTTCTGCTATGAGTGAGCTTTACAAGTATAAATTCAGAATAATGAAAGGGCAAAAAATTAAAGCTATAATTGTTATTAGAGAAATAATAAAAAAAAAGGGCAAATTCCGCTTTACCCCCCTGTGGTTTAGCGTTTTTTCACATAACCCCCCTATGGTTTCGAAAGCTATACATAACCCCCTTATGGTTTGGATTAAAGTGTCAAAGTAACGGAAATAGTCACTCGTAACGGCGTCACCTAAAATGTCAAAAATACCCTTATGTAAGGTTGAAATTTATGTATTAACCAAGGGGGGTTATGTGTATGTTTTGAAAATCATAAGGGGGTTATATGGTAAAGTATTAAACCATAGGGGAGTTATATGGTAAAATATAAAAATCATAGGGGGTTAATGTGTCATGTATTTATAAGGGTAATTTTGACATTTTTAGAAGTTCCGTTACGAGTGACTATTTCCGTTACTTTGACACTTTAATCCAAACCATGAGGGGGTTATGTATAGCTTTTGAAACCATAGGGGGGTTATGTAAAAAACGCTAAACCACAGGGGGGTAAAATATAATTTACCCTAAAAAAAAAGGACCCCAAAAACTAACAGAAGAAGAGCACTACAGAAGATAGGAATAGGCTCGCCTAAATCTATTTATTGGAATATGCTTTCCACACTGCAAAACAAGGAACTACACTCAAACAAGTAAAGGTTATACAGAACGGCATGAACGGAAATCCAATCCATAAGCCAGCCTAGGTAGCAATTGAATTCACATCCTGTCCATAGAACGGCATGAACTAAAAAAGCAATCTGGATTTTCTAGAAAGGCAAAAGATAAAGATAGCGGCTTGATACCCGATACTAGTTTCAATTGCTTCAATGGAGTGAATGCCATGCCTCGGAGCAGCGCAGGTGACAATTTTGAAAAAGCCGTTGGAAACCCATCGATGGGTTGGAGGGGGGAAAAGGGAAAATGGGTTTTGAGGAATCCGAAGGAGGAGGAAGAAGAAGAGTCAGTGAAGCAGAGGCTGAAACAACCGTAATTATGTTTTTATTTTTCTTGGTTTTGGTTATATTGGTTAAAAAGATTAAGTTTCTTTGCCCGATTAATCGATTAATTAATTTAATGTGATTCGAATTGGGTTGTTTGAGGGTTTGGTTTATTAAGGGATACTTGGGAAGATTCTAAGAAGTGGGACAGGATGTGAAACAAGGTGTGATACAGAAAATCCGTTGCGCCTATTCTCTTGATCTAAGAAAGGCATAGAGAAAATTTAGTTTTTTTTTTTAAATTTAGATATTTTAAGTAGGAAAGGAAGGTATTTGTCTTATAGAATCTAACAATCTTCAGATAATATTCAATTCCCTTCTCTTATTTTTTTAACTTGCTCTAAAAAGAAACATCCATCTATAATTCTAAGTAAAACCACTAGATAGAAAAAGAACATGACCTTGAAGTAGAGGCATTAATCAAGAGTTGAAGGAAAAATGTACTTTTCTTTTTGTGCTATAAAGGATGTGTTTTACATAATCTATCCGATTCAAGAATCATATCAATTTCAAAGAAGATCGTTCTTTAAATTGGCATAATACTTGCAAAGTAACATAATGATAGTGAAATCATGAAAGGTTAGTCCACCTGGAAGGAAAAGCATATTGAGAATAATATAAGGAATGGCTCAAGCATATAGAATACACATTCATTTATGCTACGAAGGCAAAGATAAAATTTTGACTCTTTAAGTTGGAAGATATACAATATGACGATGTTCTTGAGAAATGTTCAATTCCCCATTTATGTTGTTCCTTTTTTTTTCTTTTTCTTTTTTTGGTGCATAGAATATGCGTTTTTCATGACCTTAGCCAATTTAAAAATGATATGAATTTCAAAGAATATTGTTCTTGAAATTTGCACTTTGTTGCAAAATAATATAAATTCATCGTAGTGAAAAAGTGAAAAGGTAGTCTACCTTGAAGGGAAAAGCATATTGAGCATAGCCTAAGAAATGTGCCAAGCATAGAGGAATTGATACTGACCTATGATAGAAGGCACAGATAAAATTTTGATTTGTTTTGTTGGAAAGGAATCTTGAAATTCTAAGGTTTTTGGCATCGTACTGCATATCAAATGCCAATGGAAATGGAAACTAAACAATTGAAGATACGTTTGACTAAACCTTTTATAGCTTGTTGCAATAGCCTTCTCTAATTATATACTAGAATATCTTCTTCTACAGTAAAACCATTTCTTTTTTCTGTTTCTTCTTGTATCTCTGTCTCCCCCCCAACAAAAAAAAAAAAAAAACAAGAAGTCAATTGTCTCAATAAGAGAGCAATTATTTGTTAATTGGTCATGTAGGGATTGTTTTTAAGTAGTTCATAAAACGTTTGCTGGTTACGGACCTCGATTGCAACTTTCTGTGTGGATGAAGAAAGACCCTTCTAGACTACAAATCGAGGAAAAGATGCAAGAAAGGCATAATTGGCGACAATATATTGAGTGAACTTTGAATAAAGTGACTAGAATTTGGCTACGCTAGAGCTATGTTTTCAGACTCGAATCCACATCGACTCGGCCGAATTCAAGGGTCAGAGTTAATGGATTCAATCGAGATCGTTTGGAGGTCGAATCGGATGATTTCATAAATATGTGATATATACCCGCGCGTGTGTGTATATATATATATATATATATATATATGTATGTACACGGAAGATCAAAGGTGCAAGAAAGGCATAATTGGCGACAATTGAGTGAACTTTGAGTAAAGTGACTAGAATTTTGTATCTAATGCTTTGCGATTCTTCTATTGATGTTTTAACTGAAGTACAATTTTTTTCATATTTTCAAGGAACCTTAATGTTTTGTCTAAAAAATTTTTTGCTTCCTGAGAGCTTTAGTCGATGCTGAATATTCTTGAACTGGGCATATTATTTCCAATGTACTGCAATCTTATGAATATGTACTTACTAAACCTGTTCAATGACTGAAGGCACATAAATCTCTCGTCATGGTTGAGACTTCAATTCTTTTTATTCTTGCAGTCGAGCATTATGGCTATCAGGCCATAAGATGGGACAATCGCTTATATATTCGAGTGTAAAATTTTTCATATGCGAATGTACAATCCAAAAAATTGTTTCAGAAAGTCTTTTTCTTCTACTGTGAGAAGTATTATTATTACTGATTATTATTTACAATAAAATCTCTATAAATAACAACCTTGGAATGATACAAATTTTATTGATTTAAAGAGGCATTAATTAATTGATAAATTAATAATTTATTAATCTGTCTAGTGCACTCACATTTCAATAAAAAACACTCATTTAATCAATTATCTAATGAATTATCTGAATGAAAAATGATACAAGTTCAAAGGTATCAAGTTTAGAAGAAATTATTGCTAGTATCACTCAAAATTCTACTAATGATTAAACTGAGGATGACATACTGCCTTTGGAAGAAAGCACTTAAAGCATCAATAACTTTTCATCACTCCTTATTGCAATGTGAGAATTCAAGTCCAAAACTTTTAGCTGCAGTAAGAAAAATTAGGAATGAGACATAGGTAGATTTAAATTTTAAGAAGAAAAAACAACAATAGACTCATATTTTAGGAAAAAAAATAGAAGAGAGTTTCCACATGGGTTTAACATATCAGGCACAGATGATTAACCAAATAATTCCCACCTCGAAATTTTCAATTGCATACAAATAATTACTGATATCTTGCGAGAAAAAGCAAAGCCTTTACACAATTCAATATAGGCAAGCGGTAAATGTCAGTCTTTCGTAATCCATCGATTAGTATACTAGAAAAGGTCACAACTTTAATTCTTAACCTGACCAAATGAAAAATACAAATAAATAAATTAAAGGGGTGATTTCAAGACAGGTAATTATAACCGCCCTGCCCTTGTTTCCTTGAAATTTTAGCGGAGGATAGGATACCTGTCTTGCTCTGGGAAGCCAATAGCGGTGGCAGATTAAAAAAACGGGAAGGGATACGATAAAGGGGTGGATGTGTGGTGGCGTTGGAGGCGGACGGTGGAGGGGAAGGAGCTGGTGAAGGAAAGAAGAAAGGCGGGAAGACGAAAGTGGTGGCGCTGGAAATTGTGGAGAAAGTTCTGATTAGGAACTGCTATGATCGGTTGCTGGCTATTCCTTTTCTTCTGAAGTTGACATCATAAACACCAAAACCAAAAAAAAAAAAATCCCCCTTTTAAACTCTTCTATAAAGCCATACCATTTTTCTTCTTCCGTTTCTTTTTTATTTAATTTTTATTTTAAAATGGGAAACAATATGTATATAGACATAATTGTGAGTAGAGAAATGATAATTGTAGAAACATATGCCGTTTTTTGATAATAAAAAAAAAAAAAAAAGAGAAACATATGCATTAATAAAAAAAAATTTTAGTACCAAATCACGTGATTTTTGAAGTAAAAATGCTCTATTTCCTTAAAAGAAACAAAGCAGGAGTATTCTTCATATTTTTATCAAAAATATAAATGTAAATATTTCTGAGGTTTGAAGGACGCTCACTTGTGTTCCCTTATCCCTTCCCCTAAATACATGGAGGTTAACAAACGACCCCTCAATTTCAACTGAAAATAGTAATATTTAGTGAAAAAAGATTTCTATTTTGTCAATTTCGATTTCTATTTGTTGAGGTTGTGTATTTTTGTGCTTTAATTGATTTTGATATTTATTTGTTTCTTAAATTGTACGTGAGTTATCCCATCTTTTTAGATTCAGCTTTTTGTGGCCTTTCCAAATTGGGTTCTTGAGAATCACATAAATCACATCTGGATGGATTACATTAACATTTTCCAATTCGATTCGGCTTAGGTAATGGCAATTTTTAAAATATAAA